GCGCAGTCTGTTTGCCAGAGCTTGAAGATGTCATACGCCTTGCTCCTGTGTGAGACGTTGGCCACCCAGACGAAGCGGGAGTGAGCGTCGACGAAGGTAAGTGTATATTCTTCGCCGTTGATGCCAGTCTGTGTGAGGGCGAGGAAGTCGCTGTAGACTTTCTGGAGCTTTTCGTAGCGGTTCGTGCTGGGTTCAAGGAGTTTGAAGGGCTTGTGATTTAGTGCACCTTCATGGCAAATTGTGCAGTCAAGGCGATGATTGGTGTTGGCAGGGACGGAGGTTCCGTCAGAGCGGAGCAGTGTTCCAGGAAGGAATACCTGGGCACAGATGCAGTTGTTGAGAACTTCCTGAGAGGGGTGGCCGAGTCGTTTGTGACAAAGATCTGGGGGTGCGCGAATGGCAGGTGATTGTGTATAGACGCGAACAGTTCGGCGGTGTAGGTGGGAGGGGGCTGTGGGATTGTCTGTGGCGAGATGGATAGGCCACGGTCCAGTATGAGGTTACGAGCAGTAAAGGATGGGGCTGGTGTGAGCAGTTAGTGGTTGTGAGATGTCAGTCGAATCTGCCGTTTCTTCAGGAAGGATGGGGCGAGGCACGTGATATGGGGGTGGGCCTTGAATGGTAGATGGGGCAGTAGTGGGTAGGTCAGATGGGCTGATGGGCGTGGACTCAGTAGGTAGGGGGTTGTGAGGGTAGCGACTGTAAGGCAGGATGGTGTCGCGGTCAGTGGGGGGTCTGGAGGGGGAAGAGTCCCAGGAGTCACTGGACAAGGGTCCAGTGGGGGGATTGCCAATGGGTCGTGGGGATCCGTAGGGTCCGGCGGCTTCTGCAGCTGCCTCGGCTTCGGGGCGCGCAATCGTTTCTTCGATTGGCTCTTCTTTCTCTACAGCTGGTGTAGCCTCCCACGTTTCTGCTCCTGCGCTGCTTCCCACCCCCCATCTTGTGGTGCCAGTGCTGCTGCCCCACCCGCCAGTGGCTGCGGCTGCTGCTTTTGCTTCAGCATCTGCTCGGCGGCGATTCTCTTCTTCTTTGAGGCTTCGAAACTCATCAGAAGGCATGTCGCGCCGAGACCAAGGGTGATGACGTGATATGTTTCCCAGGTTATGGGAAAAGGATTGTTGTGTGCGTCAAACGTGCCAGGTCCTGTGTAGCATGTGAGAAGATGGAGGCGATCGTGGACGGTGGGGTCAGTCTGAATTTTGCATGGTTGAAAGATGGTGAGTGCTGCAGCGAGTTCTCCATCTCGCATGCCTGTTGGGTGAGGATTCTGCCATTCTGCTTCCTCAACGATGTCCAGAGGGGCTGTTGGTGGTTGATTTGCTGCTGCTGGTGCCTCCTCCACTTTTGCCTTTCCCTTTTCCTCTGTTGTTGCTCTGCGTTGTCCTACTGCTGCTGATGATTCGCCTTCGTCAGCTGTTGCTTTGCCTTTCTCGTGAGCTGGTCCTTTCTCTTTTGCAGCTTTCAGCTCTGTTGTCGAGGCTTTTGGTGTGCAGCAGTTGCGGCAGAGTCCGTCTGGGCCAGGTGCGTGAAGGTCAGTTTCCCTTGGATGAGCGTGATGCTTGATCCAGGGGTGTCTGTCAGGGTGAGTGAGTTCGTGTGGCCACACGGCATCTTGTGGCTGAAAGTCAATGAGGTCTCCTGGGTCAGCGTTGCAGTCGGGGATGTCAAAGTCTAGAATATATACGCCGTTGTCGAAGTGTGCTTTGCCAATTTAGCGTGGTGTGCTGTTGGGATTGTTGTAATCCTTCCAGTGCATCAGGATGCATCGAGTTTCTGGGTCTGCTATCATGAGGACGCCGCTTTAGACAAGTTGTTCGTAGGATAGAAGATTGTACTTCAGGTCCCGCACGATGAGAACGTCGTTGAGTGTGATGTGGATGTCGCTGTCGTGGGCTTTGAGGACGACGATGCCGCAGGCTCATGCTTCGAGCTGATGATTGTTGGCCACCGTGACGATGGCGGGTTGCGGGATGGGGCGTGCGTTGGAGATGTACCGCTTGGACCCCACGATGTGCTGTCCGCAGCAGCTGTCGAGGTACCATGTGTTGTGGGAATCCGCGTGGTGTTGAGCCGAGAGCGCGAGATACGAAGTGTTGCGAAGCGGGATGCGCTTGTCGACATGGCGAGTGTCGATATAGTGTCCGAAGTAGTAGTTGGTGATTGATGGCGAGTTGAGAAAATCCTTGTCGTGTGGAGGCGATTTGAGCAGAGGGGTCGGCAAGTTCCTGTCTTGCTCATATTCGTCAGAGACGAATTCTCCGTCTTGTGTGAAGGGATTGTTGTAGCCGTTGGGTTGTACCGCTTGTCCAGGCGGTGGTTGGGGAGACGTATCGGAGATGCCTCCGATTGGTGCGCCGAGTGCGGCGGTGAACGCGTATCGCCATGTTGCCCAGGACATGGCGGACGAAGTTGTTGGTGTGTTGCGATGGCCTTTGTGGATCAGATTGAGGTGGTTGGCGCGGGGAAGTCCGATGGTCCGAAGGCGGTCGGCTGGCCTGGCGCGTGTGATCATAACCGTAGCCAGAGTTGTTGCTCGGCGCGAAGTCATGATGAGGTCCGGATCGGCAACGTTCAATGGAGCGGCCGACGGCTTTGCAATTTTTTTCAGTAATATTGGTGTGGGCGAGAGTCGCGATTTCGGCGTTGATCGCGGTTGGAGTAAAAAGCGATTTGCTCGCCGCGCGTCCCCCTTTCTTGGTTGAATTCCATGTCTTGCTGTTCGTGCAGCAAGGTAGCACAATGGTGCGCTTCCGATATTATGCCCTGTTTTCGGAGAAGCGCTTTGGAGGGATTCCACTGGGGTCCAAGGCCCCGAAGCATAATCGCGACGAAAATGTCTTCAGGGATTGAATTGCTGAGCTTCAGAAGTTGGTCGCGGATGCTGCAACAGCGATTGATGTAAGAGATTGCCTTTTCGCCAGGTGCCATCCTGACCTCCATGAGTTGCTGGAGTAGGCGGCTAGAGGAGACAGAGTCCTTCGGTTGGTAAGATTTAGTGAGGTAGCTCTAGGCGGCCATGGCGGGAGCTGGGTGAGTCTTGAAGGGGCGAATGCCGAGCTGTTCGGCTGGCGCCATGTTGCGGAGAAGGATGCTGTATGCCATGAGTGACTCGTTGTAATACTGCGCTTTCGCATCGTCAGTGTTGCTAGTTGGGCCGGGGTAGCGTCCGTCGAAGTAGCAGAAGATTTGTGCGCTTTGGAGGAGTAGTTCGAGTTCAAAGCTTCAGGTATAGAAATCTCGTCCGTTGAACACGGTGCTTGTGTGAATCTTGGAGATAGTCAGAAACTTGTTCTGAGCTGTGAGCATGGCTTCATCACTTGGACGGGAAGTAGTTGGAGCAGAAGAGTTTGATCCGAGATCGAACGTGGTTGGGCTCGGTTCCTTACTCGGAGCGGTCAGTTGGTCGGGTTGCTGAGAGGTGCCCGGGTTACTGCTCTTCAATTGTTGAATCCCGGATTCCAGCATGGTGATGCGCTGGATGAGTTGCTCCATGAGCGCATTGCTGATAGTGGTGTTACTCGCGGGGTTTGCGGTTGGGTTGACGGAGGCTTCCGCACTGGGAGCCGCTTGTCCGCCAGATCCTTCAGCCATGTTTCGGCGGGAGCGCGTACCGGACGCCACCTTGAATTTGAGTTTGAGTCAAAGGTGGTGATGCGAAGAATCCTGAGTGGCTCTCATACCATGATACAATCTGGGCTGTCTTATAGGATTGTCTCAAGTTGATCGCACGGAGTGTAGCACCGGAAGTGTCAGAGACTAGCAGGAGGAATGAATGAACTATGAAACAGTTTCGTACAAGTACTAACCCTAATTGGGCTGTATCCCATATTAGCTACCCCACTACAGCCTACACAGCACAATATTCTGACACACCCCCATAGGCAAGGTGGGGGAGTACAAGCAGTCACAGAAAAGCAAAGCAAGCTCAGGGTGGATCACGAAGTCACCACACAGTCCGAGCACAAGCAAATGGCCACAAGGCCAGTTCACATGCAGAGTTATATCAAGCAGAGCAACAGTGCAGTGATCACAACCTAGCAAGTGTAAGCATGCAGGTATATGTGTAGATCATAGTACAAGCAAAGTCACGCAGTGAGCAAGTGAGACAACGTAGGCATGAGGCCTAAAGCAGTACAGAAACGCTGATGATCACCAGGCGGAAGTGCCTTGGTGAATATATCAGCTGTGTTGGCCCGGGTGGCCACGTAAGCAAGACGAAGCTGACCATGCTGCTGCAACTCTCGAGCAAGGAAGTAACGCAAAGCGATGTGCTTCATTCTGTGCTCCAGTCTGTGCTCCTTACACAAGGCAATGGCGGCCTTGTTGTCTATGTACATAACAAGAGGAGAACTAGGCCGCTCTCCCAAGTCGGTCAGCAGGTAGGTGAGCCAGCATAACTCCTGTGCAGCCATGGCTCCTGCGTAGATCTCAGCCTCACAACTGGAGCTGAGAACAGAAGACGAGCGGGTAGACTGCCAAGAAACAGAGCCGGAACCAAGGCTGAACGTGTAACCCTGTGACGACCGCTGCGTAGCCTGGTCGTCAACCCAAGACGCGTCAGAGTGTCCAGTGAGGACAACGTCACCTCGTCCTCCAAGCACGAGCCACATGCCCGATGTACTGCACAAGTAGCGTAGTACCCTCTTAGCAGCATCCATGTGCACCTTTCGGTGCCTACCAGGAGCCACGTAGCGAGCCAGAAGGCCAAGAGGGTACGCAAGGTCAGGTCGTGTGCAGGTCATCAGGTACATGAGGCAGCCCACAAGCTCTGGATACGGGCCACTCGGCTCTACGGACTCGTCCGAAGGTGGAGCTGAGAGCGAATGACCGGTAGGCAGAGGAGTGGACTGTGGCGAGGAGAACTGGAAGCCGAAGCGCTGAAGGACCTGCTGCACCATATGTGACTGAGTCAGGGTGATGGTGCGGCGTGCTCTGTCCCGGGTGATCTGCAAGCCAAGATTGTTGCGTAGCTCACCCAGGTCTGTGCACGTGTGTCTCTTCTACAGCTCCGACTTCACAAGGGCCAGTGCCTCAGTGTCAGCAGTGGCAAAAACCAAGTCGTCAACGTACACGAGGATGTAGAACGGTGGCAGCGAAGTGTCGGTGCGCAGAAACAGCGACGGGTCAGCAGTCGAAGGAGCAAACCCAAGAGCCGCAAGTGTCGCCCTCAGTGTGTCGTGCCACTCACGAGGCGCCTGGCGGAGACCGTAGACTGGCCGTCGGAGGCTCCACTGGGTACCTGCAGGAAACGACCCAGTGAAGCCAGGTGGGCGGCGCAGCCAGATCTCCTCGTGCAGGCTGCCCTGCAAGAAAGTTGTGCTGAAGTCAAGAGAGTGAAGCTCGTATTCACGCACAGCGGCAACGTGCAGTAGCACCCAAAGAGTGGTCATCTTCGGGGTAGGGGAGAAGGTCTGGAAGAAGTCAACTCCCTATCGCTGACTGAAGCCTCGAGCAACGTAACGAGCCTTGAAGACAGGCGGAGAACCCGGCGGCCGCTTCACCCTCAAAGTCCACATGCCATCGACTATGTTTGCCCCAGGAGGGGGAACCTCATCGACGTAAGTGCCTGTGGACTTCCAGGATGCCATCTCTGCGTCCATGGCTGTCTGCCACTGAGAGGAGTAGGGACCCGTAATCGCCTCTGCGTAAGAGCGCGGGTTCGGGATGTCTGGTGCATCCGGGTCTCCCTCAGGGGCAAGCAGCATGGCCACGAGATGGGGTACAGCAGCCGCAAGACACTCAAAGTCCTCCTGCCTATCCTCAAGGACGTCCGTGCCAAGAGCACACTCACCCCGACGGACGGAGGACAGACAGACTCAGACTAAGCAACAAGACTAGCAGCGCAGTCTAGACGACAGGCAGCAGCAAAATCATTATGCTCAGAGACTAGGGCAGACACAGCAGCAGACTCAAACGACGGGTCAGTGACAACAGTGGCGAGCAGACGCGTGATAGTAGGGTGAGCAGCACGAACCAGGTCAGACTCAGGGTCTGGAACGTCAGGCAGAGAAGACGCAGGAGGAGACGGCAGGGGAACGCGCTTTGGAATAGAGGAAGGACGAAGTGCCATAGTGTGCGTGCCAGGGACAGGAGGCGGACGCTCACGAGGAACACGACGACCAGTGCGAACAGCGCAAAGAGGCGAGGCAGGACGAGACGCAGGCTCACGACGCTCTGTAAGGGAGGCTGACAGTTCAGTGTAACGAGGTGGGGCAGGCAGCGGTGAGTCCGGAGGAAGGGCAGTGGACGAAGGAAGACTAAGAACCTAACGGAGCACCGACTCACGCGGTAGCGAGGACAGCTGCGGCGGCGGCAAGAAAAACGGTCGCTGCTGCACAGTGCCCCAAGCACCAGTACCTCCAGCTCCAGGGCCTCCAGCGCCAGCAACTCCAGCTCCAGCGCCTCCAGCTCCAGCAACCCGAGCTCCAGCGCCTCCAGCTCCAGCACCTCCAGCTCCAGTGCCTCCAGCTCCAGCGCCTCCAGCTCCAGCACCTCCAGCTCCAGTGCCTCCAAATCCAGCGCCTCCAGCTCCAGTGCCTCCAGCTCCTGTGCCTCCAGCTCCAGCGCCTCCAGCTCTAGCGCCTCCAGCTCCAGTGCCTCCGGCTCCAGCGCCTCCAGCTCCAGGGCCTCCAGCTCCAGCAGCGCCACTCCGAAGGTGTGTGCACCGAGCAACCACTCGCGCTGCTGCTAAGGTGAGAGAGGCTCTCGCTAGCTAGATCGCTACGGCGAGGCACCCGGAGGACCTCCAGCAGACGCAGCACCACCATGCACAGTACCCCCAGACTCAATACCACCAGGCTCAGCACCCCCAGGCTCAGCACCCTCAGGCTCCGCACTCGCAGGCTCAGCACCCCCAGACTCAGCACCCCTAGGCTCAGCACCCCCAGACGCAGCACCCCTAGGCTCAGCACCCCTAGGCTCCGCACACTCAAGCTCAGCACCCCAAGGCTCCGCACCCCCAGGCTCAGCACCCCTAGACGCAGCACCCCGAGCAGCACCACCCCCAGCAGCACCAGAGTCACTAGTGATCTCGACAGGCTCAGCCGAGAGAAGTGGGAAGGGGGGAGGGGGTCTACTAGAGGGGGACCTGAAGCGAGGAAGAGCGGCGGAGGGGGGAGAGGGGCAGTGCGGTAGGGGAAGAGACGGTAGAAGGGAACCGACTCGTCAAACGTGACGTCCTGAAAGGGTAGAACACGGCGCAAGGTGGGGTGGTAAAACTGCCAGCCAGGTGCGTCAGGGGGGAAACCAAGGAAGTCACAGGGAATGGCGCGAGAGGAGAGTTTGTCCGAGAAGGTATCGCAGACAAAGGCACAAGAGCCCCAGACCCGGAACACCGACGCATCGCCAACCTCCCCCGTCCAACGCAGTGTAGGCGAGGTCTCCGGCAAGGAGACATGGGGCCAGTGTGAGAGTACGACAGCTTATGCCAGCTATGCATGCTTGCTCTTATTTTATTATGCTACTTCTAGCTTAGGTTTATTTTATGCATGCATGAATTGCTTGATTTCCTAGGCTAGGTGCTTTCCTATATTTTATTATAGTTATAGCACCGAGCTAGGTTGCGTACACCGAATTCTGGGCTATTCGGTTGCCACCGAATTGCCTTCTACCGAATTCGGGAAGGGTCTGTTCGGGACGCTTCGCGACCCCCAGAACCTTCGCGTAACACCTGGTTACTGCCCCTTGTGTCGAGCCTATATATAGCCTCGTGTTGTACCCAGGTGATCATTCAATTCAAACCCTCTTTCCTGAGCTCGATCCTAGATCCTCACAGCCAGAGGTTGAGCTGATGCGTAGCGTACCGGACCGCAAACGGCCACAGAAAATGGGGAGCCGCCGCATGGATCATGGAGGTACGAGCCACCTCCATGACTAAGCCAATGCGGCGCTCTGCAATCCCATTCTGCTGCAGGGAGGCCGGAAGCGTGAACGACTGGAGGATGCCCTCCCCACGACAAAAGTCCCGCAAGAGGTCGGAGGAGAACTCACCACCTCTGTCAGAGTGCAGACGCAGGACAGGAAGGTCCGTGCGGAACCGCTCGCGGAGCTGGAGACGGACAGCGCGGATCCAAGGGATCAAGACATCAGGGACCTCCCCCTTGCTGCGCAAGGGGAAGACCGTGGTGTAACGCGAGTAGTCGTCGACAACCAGCAGAAAGTACTGCTCGCGGCCTAGTCCAGTGACGCGGGCTGGGCCCCACACGTCCATGTGGAGAGTCTGCAGGGGAGCAGTCGTCGAGGGAAACGAGGAGGAGTGAGGAGCGGCGCGCTGCTGCCCCTCGACGCAAGGAATGCAGGGCGGGGCAGGCAAGGGCAGGAAGGGAGGCAGAGACCTGGGAAGACCAGAGACAAGGAGGCGGGAGTGCATGCCACGGAGGCGTGGCAGGGTAGGGTGACCAAGGCGGTGGTGCCAAAGGAGAGTCTGGTGCGACAGGAGGCGACACGAGCAGGAGGATGCTACCTGACCTGACGCGGCCACTTGACCAGACGCAGCGACCTGAGGAGGCACAGCTGTCAGTGTGTACAGACTCGACCCAGGCTGACGGGTGAACGTGGCCAGGTGACGGCCAGTCCGGGAGCACGTGCAGATCGCCACACGCTGGCCTCCAGGGGTAAAGGTATCAACCCATGCATCCTGAAGGACTGCGTTACTCACCAAGTTTGTCGAGAACGAGGGGAGGTGGAGACCTGACAGTGAGCCGGACGGAACCGCCGGACACGGGAGCACAGTGGAGGAACGTGCAAGAACCGGGTCCCCGGAGGGGTCAGCCAGTGAGACTGCAACGGGTGCAGGGAGTGGTGTGACTGTGGTACTGTCGCGAAAGAAACAGCGAGAAGCACCTGATTCAAACATGAAGGTGTGCAAGGCCTCAGCAGGCGAAGTACCAGAGAGAGCAGACTCACTAGCACCTAGAGCAGCAGCCTCTATACCTGGGTCGGGCGGCACACACAAGTAACAGTCACCCTCAGCACTAACAGTCAAAGCATACATGGCACCAAGGATAGCGTCACAGTCAAGAGCAAATATATCAACACCAAACCTAAGCAGCTCTTCCCAGCGGGGAAGCTCTGCCTCGTTGCCAAACTCTGCGCGCCAAGCGTTGTCAAGGCGGGAGAAGCAGCGGGAATGTGTGTGAAACTTCCTGCACGTCTGACCAGCGCGGTCACCTGTGCGAATGACGTACGGGCAGCGAGCACTACCCCCAGACGCCCCATACTGATCAAACCACTCACGAAGCTGCTCGGTCGTAGGGGTCTCACGCGGACGCTGCTGCAACTGCCGTTGAACGGCTCTAGCCCGACCACCACCACTGCCGCCGCCACCACTCCCACTGCCGCCATCACCGTCGCCACCACTCCCACTGCCGCCACGACCACCACAAAAACCCCCACCGCTGCCGCCACCGCCGCCACCGACGCCCCCACTCCCGCCACCACTCCCACCGCCACCTCCGCCACCTCCACCGCCTCCACCGCCTCCACCACCACCCCCCCCGCCGCCACCTCCACCACTCTTGCCTCCCTTGCCCTTGCCGCTGCGGCGCTTCCCACTAGGAGCAGAAGCAGCGCCGACTTCTTCAGCACCAAGGAATTTGACGGCAGCAGCAGAAGCAACAGGGGGGGCAAGGGGGGAGGGGGAGCACCCCTCAAAGAAGGGCGTGCGAGGAGTGCCACGAGCAGCACCTACAGCGACTATGCTAGTCTCAGCCGTAAGGAGGCACTCCTCGAGGAGGTCGACAGTGAGGTCTGTGGGGTCAAGGGCGAGAAAGTGGTCCCTGACTGCGCGAAGAGAGTCAGGTAGGCGTGTGACGAAGGAATAGAGAGTGATGTACATCGGGGGCGGGTTCTTGTCTAGGAACTCGGCTTTAAGCGCGGCGCGGTAGCGAGTGTCGCTAGTGCGAAGGTGGGTGATGAGGTCCGCAACTGTGGCAAAGGAGGACAGCTCGGGAAAGAGGTAGGGCAGTATAATGTGGCCGAGAGCAGCAGTGGCAAGAACGGAGGACCATGGCATTATGCAGTGGTGCTTACATATGCCATATGTAAGCACCATGGCATTATGCAGCCTTTTCCTACGAGGAGACCCCCCCCATTTTTTCCCTGTATTTTTAGCTATACCCTAGGGTGTTTTGTCCAAGAGAATACAGAACATTGGCAGTTGGAATGTGAAGTATTGCTAGACATGATGCATGAATTGATTGTACTAGTTGCTCCTGATTTCTACATGAATTATTTTGTTATTATTTTGGGGTACACATACTGTACTATACAGTATATCGATCTGTCTAAATCTAACAGGAAGAATGAATGAACTAGACAGGAATGAGGTACAAATATGGAAACCCTAATTGGGTTGTACCCCTTATGGGCTACCCCACTACAGCCTACACAACATAATTTGACACACCCCCATATGCAAGGTGGGGGAGAACAGGCGGTCACAAGACCAGTCAAGAGAAACAAAGCAAGCTCAGGGTGGATCACAAAGTCACCACACATTCTGAGCACAAGCAAATGGCCACAAGGCCAGTTCACATGCAGAGTTATATAAAACAAAGCAAGCAGTACAGTGATCACAACCTAGCAAGTGTAAGCATGCAAGGATATATATAGATCACAGTACAAGCAAGGTCAAGCAGTGAGCAAGTGAGAAAACGTAGGCACGAGGCCTAGAGCAGTACAGAGACGCTGATGATCACCACGTGAAAGTGCCTTGGTGAATATATCAGCTGTGTTGGCCCGAGTGGCCACGTAAGCAAGACGAAGCTGGCCACGCTGCTGCAACTCTCGAGCAAGGAAGTAACGAAGAACGACGTGCTTCATTCTGTGCTCCAGTCTGTGCTCCTGACACAAGGCAATAGCGGCCTTGTTGTCTACGTACATAACCGAAGGAGAACGAGGCCGCTCTCCCAAGTCGGTCAGCAGGTAGGTGAGTCAGCGTAACTCCTGTGCAGCCATGGCTCCTGCGTAGATCTCAGCCTCACAACTGGAGCTGAGAACAGAAGAAGAGCGGGTAGACCGCCAAGAAACAGAGCCGGAACCAAGGCTGAACGTGTAACCCTGAGACGACCGCTGCGTAGCCAGGTCGTCAACCCAAGAGGCGTCTGAGTGTCTAGTGAGGACAACTCGACCTTGTCCTCCAAGCACCAGCCCCATGCTCGATGTACTGCACAAGTAGCACAAGTAGGTGCTTGTGGACTTCCAGGATGCCATCTCTGCGTCCATGGCTATCTGCCACTGAGAGGAGTAGGGACCGAAATCGCCTCTGCTTAAGAGCGCGGGGTTGGGATGTCCAGTGCATCCGGGTCTCCCTCAGGCGCAAGCAGCCAGGCCACGAGATGAGGTACAGCAGCCGCAAGACACTCAAAGTCCTCCTGCCTGTCCTCAAGGACGTCCGTGCCAAGAGCACACTCACCCCCGACGGACGGAGGACAGACAGACTCAGACTCAGCAACAAGACTAATGGCGTAGTCTAGAGGACACGCTGCAGCAAAGTCCACAAGCTCAGCAACTAAGGCAGACACAGCAGTAGACTCAAACGACGGGTCAGTGACAACAGTAGCCAGGAGACGGGTGACAGTAGGGCTGGCAGCACGAACACGGTCAGACTCAGGGTCCGGAACGACAGGCAGAGAGGACGCAGGAGGAGACGGCAGAGGGACACGCTGTGGAACAGAGGAAGGACGAAGTGCCATAGTGTGAGTACCTGGCACAGGAGGAGGACGCGGACGAGGGACACGACGAGCACGGCGAACAGTGCGAACAGGGGAGGCAGGACGAGACGCAGGCTCACGATGCTCTATGAGAGAGGCCAGCTACTCAGTGTCGAGGTGGGGCAGGCAGCGGTGAGTCTGGAGGAAGGGCAGTGGACGAAGGAAGACTAAGAACCTGACGGAGCACCGACTCGGGCGGAAGCTCGGACAGCTGCGGCGGCGGCAAGAAAAACGGTCGCTGCTGCACAGGGCCTCCAGCTCCAGCGCCTCCAGCGCCAGCACCTCCAGCTCTAATAGCTCCAGCGCCAGTGCCTCCAGCTCCAGTGCCTCCAGCTCCAGTGCCTCCAGCTCCAGTGCCTCCAGCTCCAGTGCCTCCAGCTCCAGTGCCTCCAGCTCCAGCGCCTCTAGCTCCAGTGCCTCCAGCTCCAGCACCTCCAGCGTCAGGACCTCCAGCTCTAGCGCCTCCAGCGCCAGTGCCTCCAGCTCCAGCGCCTCCAGCTCCAGCACCTCCAGCTCCAGTACCTCCAGCTCCAGCGCCTCCAGCGCCAGGACCTCCTGCTCCAGCACCTCCAGCTCCAGTGCCTCCAGCTCCTGCGCGACTCCGAAGGCGGGTGCGCCTGGCAAGCCACTC